GGTGGAGAGGGCGCGACGTGTGGGGAGGAGGACGCGGCGGTGCGCGCGGGCGAGGCGGGGGAGCATGTGCGGCGCGGCGGAGGTGGGGAGGGGGCGGAGGCGGCGGGCGGCGGGCGGGAGGAAAGCGCAAGTTTGCGACCGCCGCGACTAGACCACCAGACAGGCTCCGCGCGCGTGGTGGGCCGAAGAAAGGGCCGAGTCACGAAGCACACGGCACTTCAAGCACAAACAAATGGCCCAAAAAGGTTAAAAAGAACCGAGAAAAACATTCTATCATTTCACCAAACATCATGCCACTACAAAGAAGTACTCCCTCCGTCCAGGTGCATAGAGCGCCTAAGAAAAAGCTTTGCGATTTAGGCAGGTTGAGATTGAAGGAGAGCGCGCACAGGTTTTACTAAAAAACGAAACTGAATTTGGAAATTAATCCCGTCATTAGTGTTGGCCGTTTCAGCTAACCCATGCAAAGGAAATATCCCACGTCACACCTCACACGGCCCACCCGTGGAATTCGCTCGCCTAATCAGCGCCTGGCTACCGTGCATGCATTGGCTCTTTCTTTCTCTCATGGATCGAAAGAACGAGGCGGTTTAGATAAACGAGGAGCATTTAATTGAATTGCGTCTAACACTTTTGGAATTTTAGGATTTTCTTAGGCGCCCTATGCACCTGGACGGAGGGAGTAAAGGAGATTACATCCATATAGATACACCACCTAGCAAAGACCACAAGCATTGAAGCGAGCCATAAAACAAGAGAGCCCCGAGCTCGCTCGGTCGCTTCTGTCAGGAGCTCCTATGTCGCTAAGTGCTAAAAGATGTGAATGTGTCACATAGACGTGAGGACTTGGGCGGCCTATTTTGTGCCCATGAGCTCTTGTTGTGGCCATAGCAGCGAGTGATTCTGTTTCATTAGTATTTTGTTGGTTTTATCTAATTTTTTCAAAAAAAATATTATCTTTAAACAGAGTTTTTCTTTAAACAAGAACATATTTTTGAAAATTTGAGGGCATTTTTGGAAACATGAATATTTTTAAAGCTTTTGTGAATATTCTTAAAATGTCTAAACATCTTTTTAAAACATTGGCCTGTTTTGAGAAAGTGAAACATCTATAAAAAAAGTGTTCGGGAACATTTTTTATATAAAAAATTAGTACAGTCAACGGCATATACCCCTTCGCGCCTATACCCATGCAAGGGAACCCACACTAAGGTTTGCGGTGCCTCCCTTCACGCAGCCACGAGCCTGCATCTTCTCTTGTGGCATTAGGACCATTGAGGCGCGGTGGATCCTTGTCCTTGTCGGCGGGAGAGCTCCGTCTTTAGGTACTTTTTCTATGTTTGCTCGAGTTTCTATCGAAGGCGAGACGATTACAACTTCTTGAAAATATGGAATAAGGTTCTTCTCGCCTAGCCTCCGTCCCGGTGGTGCTTCTAGCGTGTCATCGAAGGACGTGTGGAGGTTTGTCACCGACGGATCTCGCTGGATTCAGTCGACGTTTGTATTTCGTGGATCCATTTGGATCTAGTCTTCATTTGTCTATGTTTGTGTGTCTACATGTTCTATCCTTCCGATTTACTTTTCTCTTTATTGGTGATGGTTATTGTTCTAGTGCACTGGTCCTCTAAGGCCTTAGCACGACGACTTCCAAATTGTCTGCTACAACAAGGTTTGCCCCTCGGGTAATGGAGAAGAGATGACGACGGCGCGTCTTCGACTCGCTCTATAATGCTTGTAGTCGTCGCTAGACAGTCTACGAATTTTTGTGTTCTTTGTACTATCTTGACAGTTGACGAATAGATCGAAAGTTTTTCCCGTAAAACAACAACAACAATAATAGGAAAAACTGAGCTAGAGCCTTGCCAAACCCCAAAAAACTAGATCTATAACCTTCCCAATAACCATAACTTGTCTAGCACAACTGTAGCTAGTTGGGCCAGTCCATCTCATAATCCCTTGAGAAAAAGGGTTTCCCCCGCTTTGTATTCCAAAGCAACCATCCGATACAACCAACGAAAGGTGCTGGGGCGAAAGCAGCATAAGCACGCCCAAAAGAAAGAAAGAGAAAAAGAAAAGAAACAAATGCCGACAACGGCGGATCGACAAAAACGACGAAGCCTCGCGACCGCTGCGTCCACCGGAGTCGCCCACCAAGCTCCGAGACTCCGAAGCGCCGGTACCAATCAACACCTCCAAGAAGGGACGCGATGATGGCGACGCTGCTGCTAAGGGTTTCCCGCGGTACACGGCGAGGAGAGAGGAAGGGTAACCCCGACGCCCTCCAGGAAGGTCCGGTGGCACCCTCAGGCGCCACCGCATCGGTGTCGGCCAAGCCAACAGGGATTTCTCCCGACCCCATCCTCCACCTCAGGCACTCCGGAGCTCGCCACCAAACCGACCACCACCCTGCGCCAGCATGGACACGAAGCTTCCCACGCTGTCTCACCACGGCACCGCAAAGATGGTCTACACAACAAAGAAGAGGAGCCGGGACTAGGGCAGCAGCACCGTCAGCATACGGGAGGGCCCCACCTCCACCGTCCATGACGGTAGCCGACCGGACGCCAAAGCAGGAGCCTACCGGGCCCGTGGCCCACAGGCCCGTGGCCCACAGGCCCAGACAGCTCCCGCCTTCGCGCAGCAGCTGGCACGCCGTCGACGCCGCTGCCCCAGTCCAAGCCGCTCCCTAGCCTCCCCATACAGAGAGCGTCGCGGTCGCGCCGGAGCCGACCCGCAAGGACCCAGATGGGGCTCTACAGGCCCAGATCTGGGCCAGGGACGCGCCACCGGCCATCCAGCACCACCGGAATGCCCCGCCGCCAAGAGGCGGCACCACCGCGGCGAGCGCCGCCGGCCTCCGCCACCAGGACGCCGGGCCGCCACCAGCCGAGCACCACCGCCGCCTCCCCCCACCCCGGGAAGGAGGAGAGCGCGCGGGTAAGGGACGACCTGCCGCCGCCGACACCACCCGGCCGGACCCGGGGGCGACCGCCGGCGGCGGCGGGGGAAAAGGGCGGAGGAGGATGAATGAGAAGGAAGGGCGGGCGCGCACCGCCCCGGCCGCCTTCCGGGGAGACGGCGAAGGCGGCAAGGTGGGGAGGAGGGGATGGGGGCGGGAAGAGGAGGGGGAAGGGGGGGCCTGCGCCGGGCGGCTGGCGGCGGCGGTGAGAAACCCTAGCGGGGGAGCGGGGGAGCGGGCACTTGCTTTTGTATCTCATAATCCCTTTCCACTGCCATCGACATTGCCGCTCCTATCTACAATGCAGCGATTCTCAAAAAAAAAAATCTACAATGCAGCGATTCGGGGAGAGGGAGTCACCGACCCGGCTGTGTTGGAAGCTATAGCCTGTCGTGAGGCTCTTGCACTTGTAGAAGATTTGTCTGTTCAACACCCGGTGGTGGCGTGTGACCGCAAACCGGTGGTACAAGATATTCAAGACTGTATTGGAGGAGCTTATTTGACAGTGATTAGAGAAATTCGACTACGTAGTTCCAATAGTTTTATTTTTTAAGGTAGAGCGTCGAATGTTGATGCGCATAATCTAGCCAAACACTCCCTTTTTGCTTATCAGGGTCACCACTTGTGGCTCATTTCTCCTCCCGACCTAGCATGTATCCCTCTTAATGCTCACTTAGATCAATAAAGTGTTGGCACCACTAAAAAAATGCTACAATGCAGCGATGGCCGAACGAAAATGTCATGGGATTTTAAAAACATAGTAACAAGAAAAAATGCATAGTTCTATTAGCCTATTATATCTTGAATCCTACAAGATTTGAAAACTACAAGATTTCGGATCATAGACTGTTTAACGCCACAAGAGAGACAATGGAATTGTCTGAAGACGTTTGCGTGGATCAAAAAGTTCCTCCATAATAGAGTGCATAACATTTCTTAGGAAAACAAATCTTGAGTACGGAAATCCTTCAAAAATCCTTTGAATCAATCAAAGGAGCCTTAACAAAATTGTGGCGCTTTGAAAACCTACAGGAGACTATGCATGGCTGGCCTCCTTTTGGAATCTCTGTTTTTCTCGTCGTGGTTATAGACCGGACCACTTCAGCGAACTCGGCCCTATGCAAGAATTGCATGCTGTCAATCTTTCAGTGGCATCATGCATGGTTTACAACTCCTGAAAAAAGGATGTATTTGACGCATTTGCAGCGGAAATAGTGTCCGTATTTGGAGAGATAATTGGATCCCGAGAGGAAACATAAAAATAAACATAAATCCGACAAGCTCACGAACCCGTTGGGTAGCAGACCTCATCGACCAGGAGAGTCACGCTTGGAAGGAAGATTACATCATGCATATATTTACACGCGAAGATGCAAATGATATTTTGAGCATCCGACTACCAAATTATGATGAAGAGGATTATAGTGCTTGGCAGCCTGAAAAAAAATGAAATTTTGCGCTACCGGTTTGCCATGGACGAAAAGGCTCCTGTGGTGATTGGGTCCAGGCACAATACCCAAGGGGATCACAGTATTTGGAATAA